GGCCGGGGCAGGGCCCCCCCCCTGCCAGTGGCAGGGATGGCACCGCTCCGCAGTGAGCAGAGCAGCTATAAACCAGACCGGCTCCAGGCACGGGCAGCTTGTTTAGAGGGTTCAGTGTCCACGTGCGAGGATCTGGCTCTGTCTCCTGCTGGCCTGAGCACCTTTATCCCACTGCTCCTGCGGACTCTGCTATCACTAGCTGCTTTGTTGAGGAGGAGCTGTCAAACCCAAGGAGGGGAGATCACAGCCCCTTGCTGGAGCAGGGCTGGTCTGCGATTTTTTCAAAGCAGCAGCCCCTTCTGCGAGGAAGCTGCTGGGGCAAGGGGATTACACAAAACAAGACAAACCAAGTGACCTGTGGACAGCCAGAGCTGGGCACCCTCCCCCGCCCTCTGCCCAGGGTTGTTCTGTCCTTGCGAGGTGGCCTGGATGTACCCTCCTGACAGCTGGCACTTGGAGGCAAAGGTGGATTTCATCAGCTGTTTACTGTTAAACAACGGCTTAATATTAATCCCAGGAGAAGTTTAGCCCCCCTACTCCAGTCAATCCACTCTGATGCTTTGAGTTAACAGATCAAATTCTAAAACAACCCCAAAATCAGGGCTTCTCCACTCAGGCGCAGCTCTGATGCTTTTGGCTCTTGCTGGGACTCCCAAGCCAGCCTAAGTTTGCAGTGCCCGATCCCAGAGGCACAGATACCCAGGAAATAAAGTATCATTAGCATAATACCTGAGATGACCTTTCTCAAGGGGAATTTGCAGAAGCTGGGAGACGAGTCATTCAGTGACTGGATCTAACACCTGGAATCCCACAGATAATGCTGTGTTCATCCTTGTTGCCTGAAAACCTTTGACCTAACTAACATCTTAACTGCACCACTTTAACTATATCTTAACATTTAAGATGTCAGAACCTATCTTGTCTAGGACAAAACCATTTGCCCCTTGAAGGCTTAAATGCCTCCCTACTTTGAGGGCCAGGGTCAGTGACTGAAGTGTGGGACTCTCCCCATGCTGTGTGCTCATTGTGTGACTTTGTACGAAAGACCAACGGTCACAGCAGTGGGGAACGTGGCTATTCCTTCAAAGGGTAGAATAGATACACAGGCTCCCAAAGCACTAAAGAGCTGCTCAGGTCACAAACCACTTTTCTCAGGCTTTGTTCTGCTTTAAACCTTTCCCAAAAGAAACATTTGTAACCATGAACAAAAATTACACAACTGGTTCAGAGCCTCAAACCAGCCCAGAAGGACATGCTAATAATTCCAGACTCACCAGCACTAGAGCAAATATGATCCTGTCACTCAAGACTGTACTGTCCATACGTGTCACTGGCTGGGGGGTTTTCCAAATGTCTGGTGGCTATGGATGAGCCTCTGCTCCAGGGATGCTTCTTTCTCACACCAATAGGCACCAGCATTCCTCCTTCAGCTTGCTGTCTTGCTGCTTACCCCACCGAAATCAAAGCAGTGGCAGAAGGTAGTATTTTCAGTACCATAAACATGCTAGGGAGCCTGTTTTCCTCTTTCACATTACTATGTATAATCTTCTTTTTGGCACTAAGTTAATGATACTAATTAGAAATAGGTTCCAATTAAAACGGTGGATCTGAACAGCATGAAAGAGTAAGAGGTGAACAATGAGCAACTGGCATCTGAAATAAAAAGGCTTGCCTTGGAGCAGGACTAGACCACTGCTTCCACAACCTGGAGCAGAATGTTTTACTGTAAACCCCAGCTGTACAGTAGTTCTCTTATTTATGTTCAAACAATTTCTTTCCACCATAAAAAAAGAAATCTCATCTGTCACCATAGCACTCAAAATCTACCTCAACACTTCAAACTGCCTCAAACTCTGTTTCTAATATCACAGCTAGCCACAAAAATCAAGGGGTTGAGCTGGTCCTGCAAAACATGTGTCCCCACACATAGCAAAACCAACGTGTGATGGCACACTCAAAACACTCGGGTCCATCAATTATAAAGGAGGCAACTGACCTTTGCTAGACGCTTCATGTACTTATCCATGATGATCTCGTTACGGGCCAGTTGTCCCACAAGCCCAGACGAACACCTTTGTCTCACTGGGAGGACAGACGATGACTGGCAGGCAGCAGCATGGCTCATCAGCGCTGAGCCCCAGGTCCAGCCCCACGGGGAGTGCTCCGCAGGCGAAGCCTCTAAAGCAGCTAAGTCAGCACAGTGGCCTCCTTCAGCGTGGTTACTTCTGCCTCTGCCCACCTACTTGGGCAGACAAGCGCCACACAACCAGTGCAGGGATCAGGAAGGCCATTTGCCCTCCCCTCACTCCTCCACACAATAGGACACTAACGGCAATTTCATGCAAGGTTTCCTCCACATTTCAATGACAATCATCCTTAACTCCCCTGATCCTCAATCAGGCTCTTAAGCAAAAATGTAAATATGTTAATGACGGTAGCAGCCATCTGACCCAGGATCTTAATTCCCTGGTGCAAAATAAGCTGTTTTTTCCTATTTCTTCCTTATTTTAGAGCAGGCACTCCATAAACTAAAGGTCCCACAGCAAAACCACAAGACAAAAATACAGGGAGGAGGCCTCGCAAACTCTGATGGAAACAGGAAATACAGACGAGAAAAGAAAATGAAATCAAGTTGTTCCTCCTCTTTAATTAAAGACACATCAGCCACGGCTGAGTGAGCAAGTAGGGTGGAGGCTGGTGCTGCAGACAGACAATGGGTATCTTGGGAAAACACAGACGTTTCACAGAGCGAAGCCAGCTGCTCCTCTCCCCCATGGCCAACAGCCCTCTGGGGCATCAGAGCAGCTGGACTGGGCACAACGAGAGGATCCTCGGCTGGCTTTAGGATTGCAGATCTGTCACAGGAACAGAGAATTTGCTACCACCCGTGGTTTCCCCATTGAGGGGCTTTGTCTTGGCATGAAGAGGAGATATCACCCAAGCCACAAGTTGTCTTTGCAATAGGCAAGGCTCCAAGCAACTTCATCTAATTTGGAATTTGGCTTCGAGCTGTATCAGTCCTTTCAAACCTGAATCATTCTATGGTCCAGTGGCATCTTCACTTCTGGGAGAGACTGACCTGGCCACCAGGCCTCTTGGCTGGTGCCAGCTCTGCTCCAGACTAGGAGGCAGATTCTGAAAATAAATTGCCCTGACCTTTAGCTTCCCCTCCTATCACATGGAAATGACAACTCCTGTCTTATTTCCCACCAGAAAGGAGCTATCGATAGTAGGCCTGCTTCTCGTTCACTTGTAGGCCCTTTCCCATGACTGGCACTGGAAAGGGGGAGTCGATCCCATGCAGAATCTGTTCATCTCCAAGGGTTTCAGAAACCACTCTGAGCTTTGCTGGATTTGAATTCAGACTGTTAGATGGTACAGTGTCCACAATGTCAGGATGCTAACAAGCTTCAGAAACAATCAGACCATCTCCAGCCTCAAGGGCCACACTGTAGTTAAATCAAGGCTCTCCAAGTCAACACATGGAATTGATAGACTCCAAGTTGAAGCTGTGAAAACACATTTAAGAGAGGCATTGAAACTCTCCTCAGGATAGTCACACATCTTACCAGACCCCACTCTCTATCTTTCCACAGTCTCTAGGGTCATGCTGTAAGCTGGTGAGAGGCTTTTGTTTGGTTGATTGTTTGTTGTTTTTTAAAAAAAAAAACACCAAAACAATGTCACCACAGTATACATAGCGTTTGCTGCTTTGATGAAGGTTAAAGGAATGACAAGGCAGAAGATGAAAGTCTGCTTTATAATCCAAAAGAGAGGGCAAAAAGCAGGGACTGTTTTAGCAGGTTCATCACTACCTGGTGGCGATGATCTTACGAGCAACTTAATGATCGTGCTCTCTCTTCTAATAGTGGTAGGTGCACGTGAGAGGAGAAACCCTGATCCAGAAGAGAGGAAGGTCAGTCAAAGGTAGGTGCATATCCCTCCACCTCAAAATCCAGCTTCTCACCGTTAAAAGTCACCTAATCGAGTCGCCTGAACATGTGTGGTAAAACATTAGTGCTGGTTCCAGTGACGCACACTCTCTTCCCCTGTAAATAATGAATTTACCCACCACTGCCCAGACAACATAAAGTGATTAAGGGCTGTCCAGCAGTACTTTTAGTGCATGTTAGATTGCTTTGACCTGAGGTGAACCCGAGGGCTGGAAACATCACCCAGCTCTCAAAAGCTACATTGCATTTGAGCATGGAGGATATATCCTTACCAATGCACCAAGCAGGGCCCCCAGACAGACCCGCTCCCCAGAAGGCTGCAGTGAGAGAGCACAGAGCTACCCAGCTCAGCACTCACCTGGGCAGGGAGGTGTTCACGGAGCAGGTGGCCCATCACCTGGATTCAGGTGTCTCTCTGCATGCAGCACACAGCAAAGTGGAGATAGAGGAAGCTGGTATAAGATTCCCATTTCCTTGAAGAGCAGAGTAGCCTGAAGGACCAGGTCCCTCGGTTAGTTAGCCAATCTGTACAGGCATTTCTGCTCTAATTTATTTCTCCTACTGTCTTAGGTACAAAGACAAGGAAAGGACCTACATCACTACCACCTGTTGTTACCTTCTGCAAAAGCACCCCATCTAAACAGACACTGGAAGCACAGACTCAACATAAACAGGAGAATAAAAAGATTCAGGAGTGTACCACTGCTCAGTTGTTAGGCAGATAGGAAAGAGGGCTTTAGGTCCAGGTTTAATTCTTGGTATTGCCAAGATTTCTGGAGCAAGCCCAAGTGCCTCTTGTAGTGCCTTGACTTCCCCATCTACAAGGCACACGCAACTTGTGCCTGCGTGGTCCAGCACAGTAAGCGCTGAGGAGCCCTTACAGAGTGTGACTGGATGATGTCTGCAAAGGCAAAGGCCAATTATCAAGCCACAAGGCCAAGCAGCACAGGGAGAATACGGACAGAGTTGGCCTTCTGCCAAGGTCTCATGTGTAGAAACATATCAAACTTTCCAAAGCCAATGACAGCTGAACTCCACACTGAACTCCTTGTCTCCACAGAGGTTCAGACTCCTGGTCCAAACCACCACAGGCCAAGCAAATCCTGCGTTCAGTAACACCAGGAATTTCTGACCCACAGCTTGCTGGGGAAGCCTATCATGCTCAGCCAGGTACCCAAATCCGTGTTTTTGTCTCCATACACATTTTCAATGCAACTCTCTCCCCTATCCTTTCTCTGCCTGTGGGTTTCTTCCTGCAAGTCCTTGCTAAGGCACTAAGAGAGGACAGACCTGAGATGCACTCCCAGGACCTGTTAAGCTAGCTTTCCATCCTCTGCTGTCTCAACAACCCACCACTCTGAGCGATCTCACTGCCTCTCCCCAGATCAGCCTCCTGGCAGAACACTCACAAGAATCAGCCTCTGGTCTCAGCTGGGGAATTTCACACTGTGTTCAAGCCACCCGGAACTAAATTATTCAAAATATGCCACTGTGCTGGCTTTGAAACCAAAGCCGCTCCCCAGAAAGAAGCCAGAGTAAATAGAAGAAGCTCCACTATCAGCAGCACTGACAAGGAAGAGATGGAGCACTGAAAGTGAGGGAAATAATTACATGATTAACGAGACAGCATGGATGGCAGGAGATGCCCTCCATTATGCCACAAGGCTTAATGCAAAGAGACATGTTTATAGACTGAGCCTTCTCCAGCTCTGCTTCTTCCTGTTTTATTATTTATGTAAGTGCATTAAGACTAATGGAAAGAAGCTGAGGCACTCTACAAAGTGGTGGGGTTTTTTTTAGGTGGAAATACACTTTTTGATCTTGATCCCACACTGGGCATCTTGCACATTTTGCTGGATAGATATCCTCAGCTGCAGCAACAGGCTGGGCATGTCACGGCCCAGAGTGGCAAGTCAGTATCTTACGTCACCATCCCAGCTCTGGTGCTGACTATCCACACGTTTCTGAGATTGTGGACAAGACAAAGCTTACAAGAGATCACCTAGTGACTGCCATGACCAAACCCACTCTAAGAGTTAAAACCTTTTCATAAGTCCTTAAGTAAGAGGTTTACCAATCTTTCCAGATCTGCTTGTCAGCACTGGCCCAGACATTGTTGTATGTACAAATGCCCAATCTCTTGCTCTCCCTTTTGAATTCCTCTAGTTTTTAGGGCTCCACAATCTCCTGAGGCAATGAGTTTTGCAGTCTAACTGAAATAAAACCCACTTTTCATCTGGATGGTGTAAGGCATTAAATATCAAAAGCTGAAACCAGCAATATCCATACTACCATGACACACAATATTCTCATTTACCGCCACATAATTATCGTTTACATCTTTTTGGTCATGTTTTATTGGAGAATCTCAAAATCCTGTACCAATATTAATTACATCTCTCAGGGCTTCTACATCATGAGGGGACACATACATAAGCCACTTCATGCAGAGCTGAAATGCAATACACTCTGGGCGGGATGCTGCATTATTTGGACTACATAACTCAACAGAAGGCACAGCATGCACTGTCAGCCTCACAGCCTGGAGACAGAGAGGCTCTAACACTACTGCTCCAAGGAAAATAAAATAATAATAAAAAACCCACACACAATAGTCAGAATAGCTGTTCAGCTGGGGCTGTAGTTCAGGCCAAGTTTCTGCAGTCAGATCCCTGCTTGCCCTCCAATTAACTAAACGTACACAAGCATTTCTGTAAAATTCACTGCTATTGACAACGTCTCCTGTCACAGCAGCGTCTCTGCTGGTACAGATGAGGCTGACAAGTCCTCTGATTCAAAACAGGGTTTGGTCTGATATTATCTGGAAAAACAGCATAGGTGATACCAGCGCAAAAGAGTCAGGAGCAGTTGAAATGTTTCTGTTCTGTATGTGGACAAAAGCTCAATGAATTATCTCTATCATACCATGATGATACCAGCAGCTGCTAAAGTTAGATAGTTTTGAATCAGCAAGTTAAGGTAACTTTCATCCAAAAGATTTTTAAAAGCCAGTACTGATACCAATTTTCTTCAAGTCTGGGAACACTGGAGGAACATCAAGATCTGCTTTTTACCTTTCTTCCAGCTTTGATTCAGTAATCCAGCCCTTCCAACCATGGCTCCAAAACTCCTGTCCAAACATGGCAACAGGTACCCATGCTTCTCCCAAAAC